ATGTGCCCAGCTGCTGGACACCAGCGACCCCTTTGGCGATTGCTTCATTTGTGCCAGTACGTTCCGCGCCGCGCTGAACGACGGTGAGCAAACAGCGACAGCAATAAACAGCATGGGCCCATCACTTCCACCCTTTACAAGCTTGCACCAACTAGATGGCAGGGCATCCCTGCCTTTGCATTCTTGAGATTACATTCCTGCTGCTCAAAGCCCAGGTAGGCCTCCCGATCACCGGTCCCCTCCTGGCGGGGGTCATGCATCCCCCACCCATCATGCATTTCAGGCTTCATCTCCCTCAAACCTCCACCATTTTCCCTCTCGTTTGTCGTGATCGACTCCGGGTAGCCCAAATGCCATTCTAGCGGGGCCTATGGGCCGCGACGAAGCGACCAACTCTGGTGGCAAAGGCAGCAGTCTCGGCGTGTCTGCCAAACGCCTGAAAGGCGGCACCAGCAAGTCCCAACACAAGCATGTTACAGCTCTACTGCAAAACTGGGACAGAGTCACCAAGGCGCATCCTGACCTGCGGGGCGTTCTGCTGTTACAGTCTGCATACTCCAACAGCAATGGATGGGCTAGAACGCACAATCTTGCCGGCATGGGCCCTACAGCCAGTCATTTGCTCCCTTTGAGTGCATGTAGGTCACATTGCTAATACCCCATGGTCAAATTTTTGAGACAGACCAACCAATCCAACTGGCAAACACTAAAAGAAGTTCATGCGGCACCTAGTTTCAAACTGAACAATTTCCTTCTGCTGGGCTTGCGTGAGCTGCTGCTGCAGCTTCCAAGAGCCGCACCGGTTGATGATGCGTGTCGCAGGAAAGCCATCATGTCCCTTCCACTCTCCCACATTGCCAGTGCTGATGTCGGCATCAACAACCGTCATGAACTCCTTCAGCTGCTCCCACATTGCCCCTGCTGCGTTGGGGATACGGTTCAGCATTGTTGCCGCTGCCTCCTCTGTTGCTGCCTGCTGCTGCGCTGCCTCATTTGCCTGTGCCGCGGCCGTGACCTCATGCGGGCACTTTCCTTTGGTCTCTGCGGAATTGCAGCAGCGGCCGGCATCAAGGGCCAAGAATCAGGTGGCGGGCATCTGGCCGGCGGTTGTAGGCCTGCGAATCTAAGGGCCTGCCTGCACCCTGTGTGTCCCATCTGCCCCCTAACTTACCCTTCCAGATGTGTTTCTTGATGAGGTCGACATCTGTGCTCAGCAACCAACTGTGCAGGTCGGGCCACTGCTTGGTTATGCGCTCCAGCACTGCGGCGGCAAAGCCCACCTCGCCTTACTTCTTCCTTGGCTTCCGCACCTGGCAGATTGCCGGATTCCACCGTGCCGTATGCTCCTCTTTAATTGCCGCCTCGAGTGCCACCATCTGCAGGGGCAGCATGGCAGGGTATTCCATGATTAGGCAGCTTAAGAGAAATAGGCAACCAATGAACCAGCTCGATAAAAGAAGGAACAAACCTGCTCAGCGGTGATGCGCGCAAGCACCTCGCGCGGTCCCGAGGCGGCCACCGGGATGTGCTGCCTGCATTCCAAGGACAAACAGAATGGGGTCGAGGGAGCAGCAGAGAGGGGCTAGAAGGGTGGGCCAGGCAGGCGCAGGGAGAGCGGGCAGGCGGGCTGGGCGGCACACAGGCTGGCGCCACGTCAGCACATTTTCAACCCAAAAGGACTTCAGAATCGACATCAGCGCCCTCACAAATGGGCGGGTGCAAGTTTGCAGAGCCATCTGAGGGGGCTGGAAAAGTAGATGGCTGCTGATGGAGGCCTCCACCCCCCCCCCCCGAGA